CGCCCTTTGCACAACCATAAAAATCATCGGCACAAGTAATAGTTTTGAACGGAAAAATGTGTTCAAAAAACGTCACGTCCCTGGAACTAATAATTGCCGAGTGTGCAAATCAAATACTCTATATGCCTTTTGTCCATTAGGATATCCCACAAAAATACAAGGCTCCCCCTTTCATCAAATTTTCCTTTTCGCCTGTTATTATGTGCATAGACTAGGCACCCAAAACTCCGGAGATGCATGTAATTGGGTGTTTTATGAAAAAGTATTTCATAGGGGGTCTTATTTGAAATGATGGGTGCAGGTAGTCTATTGATAATGTGCACCGCGGTAAGAATACACTCACCCCAAAATTCAACCGGTAGCTCGGATTGAAAACGCAAAGCTCTAGCAACTTCAAGAATGTGGCGATGCTTGCGCTCTACGGCACCGTTTTGTTGCGGTGTATCCGTACAAGAAGTGTCTAATATGACACCATGAGCACTATAAAAATCAAGCAAGGTTTGGGTTTGTAATTCAACCCCATTGTCGGTCCGAATGCATTTTATGCATTAAGTCATTAACCAAATAGCATATGTACCATATTATAAAATTGTATTAGCAACTACCCAACATCAGACTTATTTTTCATGAGATAAACCCAAACTCCACGGGTAAAATCATCAACAATAGTAAGGAAATAATGTGTGCCGGTAAGAGAACAACAATTGTACCCTCCCGAAATGTCACAATGGACTAATTCAAAACACTTAAAAGTCTTAATGCTACTAAGGGGAAAAGGAAAACGCTGCCGCCGAACATCTGTTATCTCCGTCGCGAGCATCCCCAACGCCGCAACCTAGCTTCTGCAATCACCCCTCTGCTCCTTTGTATCCAACAATGGTGAAGATCCAAATCTGAAGCATGTCACTGAAATCCCTCATCTTCTTCAATGGAGAGGTTATTTGGCGGCTAAGTTGCGTTGGGGGAAGTTGGAGGCTGCGACCAGGATTACGACGGTGGCGGTGGGCTGGAAGTTGGACGATGGGGAGATATTTGGGGGCTGGAAGGGCCTGGGAAGGTAATTGGAGGTTGGTAGAGGCTGAGGAGGTGGGCCAAGCGGCTGGAGAGTCAATTCGGTGGCGGCGATAGGTGGCATCGCTCGTTTGAAACATCGGTGATCATTAGCCGGACAGTTGACGTGCACTTTTTCGTGGTAAGCACTCAAAATAATATTACAATACAACAATTATACGTAGTATAATGAAGTAAGGTTCATATCCACAGGGAAAGGAACACTTCTCTTTTTATAGAATTAGAAATAAGTAACAAGGGGGGTTTTATGATTGGTTTATGAACTTAAATTATATTTAAGCACGAAGATGAACGAGTTATGTGGTTTAAGTAATGAGAAGGAGACTTGGTTTTGCTCTTATCCACTTAATGAAATGTTCGTCCATCCCGGTTATATCTTTAACTATCTTCCTCTCGAATACTCAATCGAGGAGTATATCCAATTCATCGAGGGTAGTTATTAATAACGAGACGCGTTCATTAATAAAACTTACTACCGAGTTAATATAGAACACGCGCCGTATATTCACTTGATAGTAGCAATAAAATCAAGATGAAAACGATTGAGATTGATAACCTCAACACAAGCGGTTTATTGGTTTAATCAATATAATAAATTCCCCTTGGTTTATTAACTATGAAACGCATGCATTAATAACTCAAGTTTACTACCGTGAAAGGACCGAATTAATAACAAGCGTATTAATCGACCGATTCTAGTAATAATTAACATATGAAACAAAACTAGTTGATCCTTTAAGTAATGTTCAAAATATTAATATGAAATATGAATAGGAATTAATTAATACTCAAGGAAGAATATTAAAGAAGATGAATCCTACTATAGTTAATATCAAGATGTTAACTAATTGTCATCTTAGTAACACTCCCCAATATTAACATAGAGGAAGAAATAGCTATTACTATAACTAATGTCAAGATGTTAACTAATTGTTATCTTAGTAACACTCCCCAACATTGATATAGAAATAGTATTTAAAGGAAGAATTAATATTCAAGGAAGAAGATTAAAGAGAATAACTCACAACTTACAAATTCATTAAGCTTCAGAGTAGCAAAACCAAGATGGAAGAGTTTAGCTCCTCATTTGGAGACTAAACATGATGGAAAATATACACTAATCTAAACTGAGCTAAAGAGTATATGTGAATTGGTATCTAATTGTGAAGGAAAGGGGGTGTATTTATAGGTTTTTTGGGGTGCAGGTCGGGTACTCGATCGAGTATATATATGTACTCGGTCGAGTATGTGTAAAAACCTGAATTCGACCAATACTCGATCGAAATCAGAGTAAAATTTAGAGCCATACCCGATCGAGTATGTCGGTGTACCCGATCGGGTATAGACACTCGATCGGCTACTGTATTTTATTTTGCTCCTCTTGCCTTCAATTCACTTTTCTTAGTTTTGCACATTTGACTCCACCGTTCATATTCAGACACATGTCTACTAATTTTGTTCAATTGAATCACTATTTGACATGATGCTGCTTAAATCAAACTCCTTAAATTTTTAAATATTTTGTTTTACATTCTTAATTTTTTTAATAGAAATTACTCCATTTGAGAAATTGTTTTACAATGAATTAAAAACGTTTGTATATTCCAAAATAGTATTATTGTCATGTTTTTATTACCTAAATAAGAGTAATTATTGTAATGTTTTGAAAGTATCAGACCTTAAACATGACAATAATTACTCCTATTTAGACAATAGAAACATGACATTTTATCAAAAACGCGGTAATAATTTGGTAAATAAATCAAAGTTTTATCTCATCGTGAAAAAGTGAAAAACAAATATATCCTTTGTTCTTTATTAGTTGCAAAGCTTTCATTTCATGTTTACCAACGCGCGACGCTGACCATTAATTTTTTTAATTCTCTAATTGTCATAGTTTTAAAAATTACTACCTTCGTCCCCCTAAGTTTGGGACAAAGGGGTGTGGACGTGTGGTGTGGTTTTTAAAAAAAAGTAGAATTGTGTGGTTGGTATTGAGTTGATAAAGTGTGAATAAAGTAAGAATGAATTCTAACCACTCAAATATTACCAAATATGGTATGAAACAAACTTAGTGGGACGGACAAAAAAAAAAGGTAAAACGGGACAAACTTAGGGGGACAAGGGGGGTAACATTTTGAAAATTTAAAGTTAGAACAATTTAATTATATTTTATAACTTTTTTATGTATTCATAAATAGAATATAGTCAAAGTAGAACACGTGAATACCAAAAATTTCAAATTTTTTAAATATTTAAGAATGAAGGTAATATTATTTTCAAATTTAACATTTTCCACTGGAACAACCCCTTTTAATCGAGTCGCACTATATATCTAAAATATTATTTTGTGTAAAGCATTATTCTAAGTACATATTAGAGCACCCCTCGAATTTATCTCTGGTTCCGTCACTTGATGCTTCATTATATTTTTTGACTATGATAATCCTGCTAGTAAAAAGAAGTTGCAACATAATAGAGGAATAGTTAAAATAATCTTTAACAACTGAACTAATAGAAAATTTAAACCCAGAAAAGTAGGGGAGAGGGTTATAAACTACGGAGTAAGTTTTTTTTTTCAAATATTTCTGCGTAAGTGCTAAACATTTGCTACAAGTTGAACGTGATTTCTTTGATGTTATAAATATCCGAAATGAGCAAGTACATGAACAAGTTTTGTACTAACACATTGACATTGTAATTTTAAACAGCATGATATTTCTAATGTGTCAATATATCTTTTAAACATAACTGAAATACATTTAACCAATTCAACTTGTGTGCCTTTCTAGTTATATATATAGTATAGGAAAAATTGACAAGAATAATCTCACCTTTCACTGGTCTTCTCATAATAATCCCCCCTTTAAATAATCCCAAAATAATCTCACCTTTGTACCTTATCTTCTTTCATTGGACCCTGACCAAGTTTTTTACCTTTTTTAAAAATCTTATATAAATAATCTCACATTTATAAGGATATTATTAAAAAGTGAAAGGTGAGATTATTTGTATAATTTTCAAAGAAAGAGTAAAAAACATGGTTAGGGTCCGATGAAAGAAGATGAGGTGCAAAGGTGGGATTATTTTGGGATTATTTAAAGGTGGGATTATTATGAGAAGACCAGTGAAAGGTGGGATTATTCTTGTCAATTTTTCCCATAGTATATTGTAGTCCGTATATAATATAATAATTAGAAATATGAAGTGTATATCTTTATGGTATACTTGATTCTCTTGAAAAACAAAAAATTTGTGACGTTCAATGCTTTATTATTGATGTTACACACACTTTCATTTATATGTAGCATATAAAATACCACATATACTTGAACTTGTTCTTTGTATGTAGCATATAAAATACCACATATACTTTGTTATTAGTAGGTATTTTTAACATCCTAATGAACAGTTTTCGTTGTAGTAATAGAGTATAAAGAAAATGATTTATGAGAAAAAACATAATATTGCAGAAAAAGAAATGAAATGTTTATCATAAACCACTCTTCATTAGAAACAAAAAATATTTATACCAATAGAAAGAATACCGAGAAGTGATTTTATGAGAACAAAGCTTAACATTGTAGAAGAAAAGGGAAACTTTTGAGAAACTCATATTATTCTGCGTTTACACAAACATTGACTAAGGCATTTTATCGAGCATTTTGGGTACATCAACATTCTGCATAAGTAATCTAAGTTGTGGTTAATAAATTGAAGCACTTATGATTCAATTTTAAGCGTAGAAATGTGGAATAGTGATGTGTATAATCTCAGGTCACACATTTTTTAGACGTGCTGAATAGGATTCTGTAACGGTAGTCTTATCTACCGTTAGTCAAACTGTTAATAAATGGAAAAGTTAGTTGTACTTGTTATACTTTTGGAACGAACTATAATAGTTTAGTTACAATACATTTGTATAAATACGGAAAAGTAGAATGAATAATGCAGTCTGTTATTCAATCATTTACCGTCATCCTCTTTTACATTTAGCATGGGAGTTTACTCTTGTTGAATGTTCTCGCTAATACAGTCGAGCCAAGCTCCTGTTACATTGGTATCAGAGACGTGATCTTGATAAACCCTTCTTCCGCCTGAAACCTCTTCCGCGAATTACTCTGGCGCCCAGGTCTCGATCAAAATCCACCATTGAAGCCATGGAGGATCAAATACAAGCTTTAACTCAATCGCAGCTGCAATTCCAACAAGACATTCAACAACAGTTTCAGCAATTGTTTGGAGTAGTTGTGGATTTACAGAAGAAACTTGATAAAGAAACCTCTGCCATCTCAATGACCTTCAACTATCATAAAGAAAAAGGGGGGAATCACGCTAGAACATTGGGGTATACTCCTAAACTCAAATTCCCTCATTTTGATGGTAATAACAGTAGCATGTGGCTTGGAAAATGTAAAGGATATTTTACATTATGTCAAACACCTGAAGAACAACAAGTAGATATTGCGGCGTTGAATATGTCTGGAAAAGGAGAAATATGGGTAACTAGCTACCTTGTTGATAGAATTGGTGTAGACTGGCAGGAATTTGAGGCTGATTTATATGCTAGATTTAAAGATGATTCTGAAAAAGATGTTGTGGAAAGATTTTATAGGTGCCAACAAAAGTCTTCTATTGATGCTTATATTGACGAATTTGAAGAACTTAAGAGCATTATTAAAAGAACTCATCCGTTTCCAGAAAAATACTTCTTGGATTGCTTTATTGGGGGATTAAAAGCATCTTTGAAATCTTTTGTAAAGGTTCTTAAACCTTCTACTATGGCTGAGGCTATTGAGTTTGCCAGATCACAAGAAGAGACTTTATCTGCTACTTACAAAAGCATTAGTACTTTTCAGAAAAATATTCCTAATCTGGTAAGTACTACACATAAGCCTTTCCCTTCTAAGGCTGCTTTAACCAATGACCAAAATAGTATTGAAGGTAGCTCAAGAACATATATTCCTGCATCTCTGAGAGCTGAAAAGTTGGCAAAAGGTCTGCGTTATTACTGTGATCAACCTTATGATAGAAATCATAAGTGTCAATTCAAGAAGACTCAGTTGTTTACAGTGGAGGTACAAGGCTGGGAAGATGAAGAAAAAACATAAGAGGGCTGTAAGACTAATGAAGGAAGTGAGTTGTTGTTACTGCAGGATCCTTGCATCTCTATAAATGCCTTAGCAGGTTGTTTTGGATTTCAAACAATGAGAGTGGTAGGCTATTATGGAAAGAAACCACTGCATATCCTAATTGATTCCGGAAGTACGCACACAGGGCCGGCCCAAGGGGGGGAGAACCAGTGCCATCGCACAGGGCCTCAAAAATTGGAAGGCCCCAAAAAAATTAGCAATAGTACTAGGAAGTAGCACAAGTCCAAAATAAAAAAAGCCAGGAAGTCGAAGGTTCCCAACGAAGTAAACGAACTAAAGAAGCTCTGCTGCCTTGCGTTGGGTGTCGCGCAGGACTCTTCGTTTCTAGGTCTTAACTTTTAGTTCCAATTTCAGATTTTAATTTTAGGTTAAGAAGGCTCCGTGGAATTGAACGATGAGTGTTGGCTTCAGATTTCATATTTGTGTTTTTCATAAATAATCATTTAGACCCGTCTGTGTTTTTAATTTTTTTTATTTTTGCTAATGCTAATGCTCTTTAATTAATTTTTTTGTACGGAGTATGTCTTTCAAAGTTAGCAATGTCAATCCATTTTTCTTTATGTTTTATTTTTTGGGGCCTCTAAATTAGATTTGAACAAGGCCCTTGAAATTTCAAGGCCGGCCCTGTACGCACAACTTTATGGATATCAATTTGGCTAAAAAATGTGGACTGAAGGTTAAAAAGATGAGATCACAGACTGTTACAGTAGCTAATGGCAGTCATCTAGCTCGCCAGAACATGTGTAAGGACTTTTCTTGGAGAGAAATGCTTCGTGTACACGCCCGTGTACACGTTTCCATACACGCTATATAATGCCTATTTTTTTTACCGCATCACTTTCCCTGTTTTTCACTTTCTCTTTCCATTGCCTTTTCTTATTTCTCCCTCGCAGTTCCTTCCAAAACCTACTCCGACCAGCAAAATCCTTTTTCCATCGTCACTCCTTCACCTACTCCCGCCTTCATAGTTCATAGTCGAACCCTTACCACACAAAATTGTGCTCTTAAATATCAGAAGCTTGAAGACAAACTCCAGTATGGCAGTAGGCATTGTTGTAGCTCGAATGCAGAGAGCAGGGCTAAATATGGTGAGTTTATTCTGCGTTTTTTTTATACATTTGGGATTACATTTTTTTCGATTTTATGTATATATAATATACTTTAATGTTGAATTCCTGATTACATTTGTAGATTTGTGATTTTTACTATTAAAATTGTAATCCAACTGTTGTATTTCACCTTTATGCATATAAGGTGTATGTTGAAATGATTCAATGAGTTTGTTATTCCTGTCCACGATTTTTTTTGTTCATTTGCCTTTTTTGTTAATTTGTTTGACTATTTTAATTATTAGTGAGAGTTCTCTATTGATTTTTAAGGTATTAGTCTTTAAATTCATCATGTAATTGCATCAGGGCATCATGTAAATTACCAGGAGCATGTTTATGACTGGGGTTTGAATATGACTTGTTTAGTGTGAACTGTGAAGTTAATGCATCATGTAAATAAATACAAAATATGTTTTAATTACCGGGAGCTTTAGCCACGGTCTCATGACTGCTTCAGGACATTTTCTACCTCTTCAATTTGTTTATTATGGTCCAAGTATTTTCTACTTTTGGTATTTGTATTCAAATATTTCAATAAACATATCATGTTCCACCAATTTGTATACATTGTTTTAACCTTCGAGTGGCAATGATGCTTTATTTCCCAAACAAAGTCTGGGACATTTTGAGGGGTATGCAAGAATGAGAGGTTGAAAACACATATCTCTTTTTGGTTCACTTCCAAACTGTTAGTATATACTCCGTATGTAATTTGTTTTGGTTTTATTGATAATAATTTTGTTGGTTGGTGCAATAGAATATACAGAATTTAATGCAATTGACACAAATTATTCAGACTCTTTGCATGGCGAAGATGATGAGCCTCTATGGTGAAGACGATGAGCCTGTTTCTCGATCTCTTTGAGCACGACACTTGATAAATCAAATTATGCCATGAAATGGATTGAGAAGGTCAAGAACGAAAGATTTTAAAGCAAATGATAACTAAATATTTCATTTTTGTAATTAGTTATATTGCACTGTTAATTTTCTTGTATTACAATGAATGTAATGAAAGGTTTTATGTTTTCAAAGTGTATCTTTGTATTATCAAAATGACTTTGAATGTTACCATAGGTAGTGGTGCTATTGATGTAAGTCAGTTGGAAACTGAATTGATAATCTTTTTCGTTTTGATGGTTTGTTATATGCAAAAAATGAATGGGAATTACGAAAGTGTAGAAATTATGGGTAAGTTTGTCTAAAAAAGACATGTTCTCTCATTAGGATTATGAACTTTTGGACATTCAAAAAAATAGTTTGTTTCTAAATGTATTTGTAAAGATAAGTTTTTCTTGTTACAAACAATTATTGTCTAAGCACAAACAATATAAATGACACGCAACTCTAAAAAAAATTGATATACAGACAATTAATTTATACGCATAGACAAAATAATTGAGCACACAAAAAATGTGTCAACCAAGTGTATATGTATAAGTTTTGTCTGGATACAAATAATTTTTATACAAATTTTGTATGTGTGCAGATCATTTCTATACTAGTTTTGTCTGTGTACAAATAATTTTATATAAGTTTTAAGGTGAATTGTGTGTGACAAGATTACATATTGTGTGTGGTTAAACATTACATGTGCATTCGTTTATTTTGTTTGTGCGTAGTTGAAGCATTAAGGGGGCGTAGTTGAAGTGCTTCTGAAATTTCACCCAAACGCTCCAGCTTCTGCTTCTGCTCCCTGAAGGAGCAGAATCAGTTTTGAGAATCAGATTCAAACACCCCCTAACTATATCTTCATTTATATTGTTTGTGCTTTACCCTAGTGTGTTCATTTATTTTGTCTGTGCATAGACAATAATTACGCCGATATGTTCATTTATTTTGTTTGTGTATTCGATTATATTGTTTGTGCATGGTTAAAGCATAGTCTGTGTGTTCATTAATTTTTTTTTGTCTACACATAGACAATATAAACTGGGACATAGACAATTCATAGTCACACTCAAGCAATTCGTATGGACTAAATGTTCAATTATGTGATGTAAAAAGAGTAAGATGTCATGTAAATGTCACTTTTCCAGATGAATAAATGATTTTTTTTAATCACACAACTATTACATTCAACAACAAATTCAATAACGTTTGAAATTCAATAACACCAAAGTCATATCATTTTATATGATACATCTTTGACAATAAAATCAAATCTATGTACACTTACATTCTAAATACAAAAACATTAACTTTACAAACCAAATTTCCAATTGTTACAGAACTAGAGCTTTCAAAGCAAGCTCTGGGACTTCTGGCTTGACTCTTTATGGTGAGTGAATAGCTGGTGAAAGGATGTGTCTTTCTTTTCCTGCGAGGAGCAACTCTACTTGTATAAAAAACCACCAAATTAAGTAAAAGATTACTAAGCCTCCTTATGAATCAGCCTGCAACATTGGAACAAATAACAAAACTTAAATTTAGATATTTAGCTACCTTCAATATACACCCAATCATTATACATAAAGAATAATGTTAGGGTAATTAGTGTGATGTTTTTCTTTAGCCCGAAGGGATTGTTCTTAGAGACATGGAACTTTGTATAAATGATGCTCACAAACAAGGTAGTTTTTTTGTAACTTTTCTTGACACATGCAACTTTTACAGGGATACAAACAACAGTTGTCTAGGCAATTGTTGAGCATGGATCATAACCAGTAACCACTTAAGAATATTAGAGAATTCATTAATCATTAACAAAGTTTTCTGACAAATTTCATTAAACATAATAAAAAAAAGGACACCCAGCTAAAAACTAAAGAATATTAAACCATTTCCCATCTTGAACATTTCACATTCATGCTTCTAATATTGAACAAGCATTCATTGAGTGCTTTTAACAAACACTTTATGGGTAAGAAAATATAAAGAAGTGCTTAGATTATAATCACAATAATTAACTACACGGATTAAAACAATGAAAGGACATGGTTAAATAAACAAATTACAGATATAAATCAGGCATAAAATTAGAATTAAAAATAAAAGGCAATCCATTAACCAATGCACTTCACTTAGAAATTAAAACACAAAATCCACACAAGAGAAAAAGAAGATAGTACCTTGGGCGGTGTAACTGAAGGAATGAGGTGGTTGAACGGGCATGGGGTTTCGCCGGGCGGTGGAAACTACCTTCATTTGAGCCGATGGGTCCAAAAACGAATACAAGGAAGATAAAGGAGCTGGAGGATGAAAGGTTTTCTGTAAAAAAAATGGATTTAATTTTAGGATGGAGTTGCAGAAGAAAGAAAATTAAAATTGAAAGGGAGAAGACAAGGGTGGAGCCGCGGAGGAACGTACGAAAAGGGAAGGGAAGGGAGTAGATGAGAGGGATAGAAAAATGGTAAAACGAAAAGGTAAAAAAACATAGGTTTATATAGCGTGTACCGGGCGTGTAAAAAAAACGTGTACAACTAGAATTTTCGTTTCTTGGAAGCTGTAACACCATGAATTTAAAACTGATGTGCTATTAATTAATACCATTAGGAGGTTGTGATATGGTATTAGGAGTACAATGGCTTATTGAGCTAGGACCATTTCAATGGGACTTTAAGAAACTGATGATGAAGTTTCAATGGCAAGGCAAAGCAGTTACTCTTCAAGGATTACCAATATCTCAATTAAAATCATTGTCTGAACAAAATTTTTAGAGCAGGCTTCTCAGATATTCTTCCTGCAGGTATTACCTCATAAGGAAGAAGAAGAATTAGACATAATCTGCAAGGCAATGGACATTCTGGAAGCTCAATATTCAGAAGAGTTGCAGAATCTGTTAAAACAGTTTCAGGTGATATTTGAAGAGCCTGAGTCTTTACCTCCTTCTAGAGGAATTTATGATCACAAAATATTACTGGAACAGGGTACCTATCCAGTTAATATTAGACCATATAGATACTCTTTGACCCGAAGAGATATTATTGAAGGATTGGTTCAAGAAATGAAGGCTCAGGGAATCATCCAGAATAGCTCTATCCCATTTGTTTCTCCTGTGGTATTAATTGGTAAGAAAGATGGGACATGGCGCTTATGTGTGGACTACAGAGAATTAAACAAGAAAACCATCAAAAATAAGTTTCCCATACCTATTATTGATGAACTTGTTGGTTCCACAGTTAGATCTCAGGATATCATCAATTAAGAATGAATAAGGAGGATGTTCATAAGACAGCATTCGAAACTCATGAAGGGCACTACGAGTTTCTAGTCATGTCTTTTGGATTAACAAATGCACCAGCTTCTTTTCAGAATTGGATGAATGAAGTATTCAAACCTTTATTGAGAAAATGTGTGTTAGTCTTTTTTGATGACATACTAGTGTACAGCAAAAACATGGAAGATCACTGTGAGCATTTACAGAAGGTGTTTCAGATTATGAAGGACAATCAAATGTATGTTAAGGCTTCTAAATGTTCTTTTGCCATGCCTAAGGTTGAATACTTAGGGCATTTTATTTCAGGATCAGGAATTGAGACAGATCAAGAAAAGTTGATGTCGTAGCTAAATGGCCTTTTCCTAAATCTGTCAAGCAGCAGAGAAGCTTTTCGGGTTTGACGGGATATTACAGGAAGTTTATAAGGTTGTAGGGGTCATAAGTAAACCTCTAACAAACTTACTAAAGAAAGGAGCTTTTGGATGGAACAATGAGGCTCAAATGGCATTTGAGAAGTTGAAAATGGCCCTAATTAGAACTCTAGTTCTGGCACTCCCAGACTTTTCTAAAAAAATTATGGTAGAAACTGATGCATCAAATGATGGGATTGATGCAGTCTTGATACAAGAAAATCATCCCCTTTCTTATATTAGCATATCTCTGGGGACCAAATGGCAGAAACTTTCAGTATATGAAAAAGAATTATTAGCCATTGTGTTTGCGGTGCAAAAATGGGAACATTATTTGAGTTCCCAACACTTAGTTATCAAGGTAGATCAAAAGAGCCTTAAGTGGTTATTAGAACAAAAAGTTTCCACTCCATTCCAACAATTTTGGTTATCTAAACTAATGGGCTTTGACTATGAAATCCAATACAGGTCAGGAAAGGAGAATGGGGTTGCTGATGCTCTATCAAGAGTTCAAGGGGCTGAATTATGTTGTTTAGCTATATCATTGGTGGACTCAGACCTAGAACAACTGATTAAGGAAAGCTACACCTTAAATGATCATCATCCAAAGTTACTCATTTACTACAACAGAACCAAGTTGTGGATAAATATTCTTTGCATAATGGTTTGCTAAGAAGGAAGGGGAAGATTTTTATTGGAATGAAGTTACTTTGAAGCAAAAGATTCTGCAGTGGCATCCTGCTTCAGGTGAAGCAGGACATTCAGGCAGGGATGCAACATTAAGAAGAATTAAAACAATTTTTTATTGGAAGGGCCTTAATAAGGAGGTGAGCAATTATATTAGAGAATGTTTAGTTTGTCAAGCAAACAAACATGAGAATGTGGCTTATCCAGGGCTGTTACAACCTTTACCCGTCCCAGAGGAAGTTTGGGTAGACATCTCTTTAGACTTCATTACAGGATTACCAAAATCTGGAGGAAAAGAGGTGATATTGGTGGTGGTGGACAGACTTAGCAAGGCAGCTCATTTTGTGGCTCTTACACATCCATTTACTACAATAGAAGTGGCTCGGTCTTATCTGGATAACATATTCAAATTACATGGGTGGCCCAGGAGTATTGTGAGTGATAGAGATGTTGTTTTTCTAAGTCAATTCTGGATAGGGCTGTTTTCTATACAAGGAACTAAATTCAATCTATCATCTGCTTATCATCCCCAGTCTGATGGTCAAACAGAAATTGTGAATAAATATTTGGAGGTATACTTGAGATGTATGTGTGGAGATAAACCTAAGGGCTGGATCTTATGGTTACCCTTAGCTGAGTGGTGGTTTAATACCCATTTCCAAACATCAGCTGGTATTACTCCCTGTGAAATCATGTATAATCAGCCTCCTCCATTATATCTTCCATATTTACTTGGGGAATCTAAAGTAGAAGCTGTGGATAGATCATTACAGAAGAGGGAGGAGATGATCAGGAGATTAAAAGACAATCTGAATAAGGCTCAATCAAGGATGAAATTTTTTGCAGACAAAAAGAGGATTGAAAGAGTATTTAATGTGGGAGATTGGGTATGGTTGAAGTTACAACCTTACAGACAACAGTCTGTACAGTCTGTACAAATGAGGAGTAATCAGAAATTAGCCCCAAGATTCTTTGGACCATTTCAGGTTAAAGAAATCATTGGAAAAATGGCTTATAAAATCAAATTGCCTGCAGATTCTCAAATACATGACGTATTTCATGTATCCCAGCTTAAGAAGTTCAAGGGAGAATTACCTATGGCTGCTCACATTCCTGCTTGGTTCCAAGGCCAACCAGCAGAAATTTTGCCTCAATCTGAAAGAATTCTGGACTGAAGAAGTGTTAAGTTCCAGAACAAGGTTCAAGTACAGTTTTTGGTGCAATGGAAGGGCTTTCCCTCTGAAGATGCAACCTGGGAGTCAGCGGATACCATTAAGGCTCAGTATCCTAAGATGAGAGTTGCAGAAGTATGAGTTGACTTGAGGACAAGTCATTTCTTTCTAAGTGAGGAGGAATGTAACGGTAGTCTTATCTACCATTAGTCAAACTGTTAATAGATGGAAAAGTTAGTTGTAGTTGTTATACTTCTGGAACGAACTGTAATAGTTTAGTTACAATACATTTGTATAAATACGGAGAAGTAGAATGAATAAAGTAGTCTGTTATTCAATCATTTACCATCATCCTCTTTTACATTTAACAAGGGAGTTTACTCTTGTTGAATGTTCTCGCTAATACAGTCGAGCCAAGCTTCTGTTACAGATTCAGAATGTGATTCAATTAAAGCAAGTTTTCTCAAGCCTATAAATGTTTTTGAACAAGTGAAAGACGGAATACACTGCGAATTTCATTTGAAGACGAAGCAGCGGATATACATTCTAGATACTATATTTTCAATTGCAACAAGCGGATTGAATGGTTTTAAAGATAGGAAAAATACCTTGTTTATGGAATAGAACATCAAGAGTTTAAATGAGGACCGTGTAACCCGCTGTGATGTATACATACACTGTTTGACTATTTGGATTCTTTTTGGAAATTATTTGGCAGTTGAAATGTTGAATAATTACAGGGATGGGGAAGAGATGCCTTTTAAGAAGAAGTCGATCATGGGTAGTAGTGGACCGGACCCAGTCCGGTTCAAGTTCAGGCCTAGGCCCGGCCGGGCCTGGCAGGTTTTGGGTAAGGACCGGTCCGAGAGGCTATCGAGCCGGTTCTGGTTTATTTTTTTATTTTTATTTTTGTGTTTTCTTATTTATTTCAACCCGCTGTGATGTATACATACACTGTTTGACTATTTGGATTCTTTTTGGAAATTATTTGGCAGTTGAAATGTTGAATAATTACAGGGATGGGGAAGAGATGCCTTTTAAGAAGTCGATCATGGGTAGTAGTGGACCGGGCCCAGTCCGGTTCAAGTTCAGGCCTAGGCCCGGCCGGGCCTGGCAGGTTTTGGGTAAGGACCGGTCCGAGAGGCTATCGAGCCGGTTCTGGTTTATTTTTTTATTTTTATTTTTGTGTTTTCTTATTTATTTCAACCCCCCACCCCCCCCCCCCCCCACCCCCCCCCACTCCCCACCCCCACCCCCCAAACCCCTCTGAATCACCCAGACCAGCCCACCTAAACCCAACCCAAACCCCAAAAAAAGGCCCAAACCGGCCGGGTCGGGCCTAGGCCCGGTACCTGAACCGGTCTTCCGGGCCAGAGGTCCATGACTAATCATGGGTAAACGGTGTGTCGTTGACAGAGATGGACGGAATCACGGAAAAGAAGTAGTATACGTATGTACAAGGGGAAGTTGGACGGAAAAAGAACCATAGTAACTTTAGTTGGCCCTTATTATTTAAGCAAAGATACGTACAGATATCATTGGCGATGTCATTGGCGATGGCTAGTTATTCATGAGATCTCATGTACACACCTTTCCATATTATCTTTATTTCATTTCTTGCATATAACTTTACATTGATTGTCATTTGTCAATTTTCAACATCAATATCGACAATCATCAACAATTGGAAATATCGTTTCTTTTATAATATACCCAGTACAAGAAAAGAATCAGAGTAGCTCTCAGCACGAGCCATCCATGAAATCTATCAACAGATCTTTAACCATAACTCTATCGGGTATCCTCCCTGCCGCACCATATAAGGGGGCAAGGCCACCATTTATAGGACCTGGATTTTGTTTCACCTTCAAAAATATAAAAGGTATCATTAATAACAAGGAGAGAGGAGCTCCCAAATAATTTACTGCTGCGTACAACACAAGAAAAGCCACTTATAAATACTCCTCTTGTCCCTAAATAAAATCCTATTTTCTTGTTGGGCAAAACTACGCTGTTAATTTACTTTGCAACCCTTTTTAAATAAGAATATGTATATTTTTAAACCCCCTCCCTAAAAAGTCACATCACATTTGTAATAATGAATCATAGGAAAAAGATCTTGTCCATCCGGATGGACGGGAGGTGCCGTCTGGCCGCCGCCGTTTAGGGCGGTTCCCAGTGGATTTTTTGATGATTATTTTTGTTTTTTATCAAGTCTAGTTTATCAAATAAAAAATCAGCCAAAAAATCGATCGGGAAGGCAGTCAAATAAATGTTTGAAAATAACTATGTTTTATATGTATAATTTGCCGCAGTTCTCTTCAACAAATTATTTGACTATCTTCCCGATCGAATTCTTAGCTGAACATTTTTGTGGATACACTAGACTTGATGAGGAACATGCTCAAAAAAATTCATCAAAAAATTTCATCGGCAACCGTCCAAACGGTGACTTCCGGACGGAGGGTCCTGTCCCTCCGGCTGGACAGGATCATTCCTCATGAATCATATTACAAACACAACTCTTTTTGGGAAAGCAGTATAGCACAGCTCACTCATAAAATCACATAAGCCTGCGATTTACTCGTATATCACTCTATATACATAAATTCTTACGCAACATGTTACTTACCGTATGCACAGCATCTTTCACATCCCTCACGAACTCTTGAGCTACAGATGCGTGTTGAAGTGTGACACAAATATGAATGCTGATAAGGGCAAATTAAGAATGATGTCAGCACAAAATTCTAGGTGAGCTTGGGGGTGACAGAGAAGGGAGAAACGATATTTGAATATATTCTTGATAATTAGAATGAGTTACAATAGCTGCTATTTATACAAGTAGTAATTTCATCTATATGGTAAGTAATAATACAATATTAAATGATAATGATATGTAACGGCTAATATGATATGTAACAGCTACTCTATTTTAAACTCAATTATTCCTTTCCTTCAATACGCCCCCGCAAGCTAGGTATTCTGTCACTCCCAAGAATCCTGAGCTTGTCTCTGAGAAGAATAAAACGTTGCCGAGGGAGCGGTTTGGTGAGGGCATCAGCAATTTGTTCAGAAGATGGGATGTGATGAACTTGAAGAAGTCCGCGTTGAACTCGCTGCCGAACAAAATGAAAGTCAATAGCCACATGCTTCATACGAGAGTGGAAGACAGGATTTGCAGAAGACGTTGTAGCACCTTTGTTATCACAAAGAAGGAGCGGGGGAGAGGGGAGCGGATGCCGCAACTCACGTAAGAGAGACTCAATCCAAATAATTTCTGAAGCAGCAGTAGAAAGAGCTCGATATTCAGCCTCCGTGGAGGACTTAGCAATAGTGCGCTGCTTTACTGACTTCCAAGATACAAGAGACTCCCCGAGAAAGATGACATAAGCACTAGTAGATGAGCGATCGTCGGGATTCCCTGCCCAGTCGGCATCAGCAAAGGCACGGAGAGAGGGAGAGGTGCTGCGACCAAGGAGGAGGCCATGAGAGGCAGTGCCTTGCAGATAGCGCAAGAGACGTTTGAGAAGCTGCCAATGATTAACTGTAGGTTTATGCATGAATTGAGCCAATTTATTGATAGCAAAAGCAGCGTCTGGACGTGTTAGATTCAAATATTGAAGAGACCCGAGAACCTGGCGATAGAGAGTGGCATCACAGGAGCCGGAGCTATCAAACAGAGATAAGGAAGCAGAAGAAGCTAACGGTGTAGCCACAGGATTAGCCTCATCCATTTTTAATATCTTCAACAAGTCCATAATGTATTTGTGTTGATCAAGAAAGAGTCCACCTGGAGTAGGAGTAACCTGCATTCCCAAGAAATAGTGTAAGGCGCCCAAATCCTTAATGGAGAACTGCTGGGCCAATGAGTCAATAGTCTGACGTATTAAGGCCGGTGTGGAGCCAGTGACAATGATATCATCCACATAAACCAACACATAGATATAAGAGTGATGGGAAGAAAATATGAAGAGGCTAGCATCAGCAACTGACTGATAAAAACCAAGTGAGAGAAGAAATCCACTAAGAGACTGATACCACACCCGAGGTGCTTGTTTAAGTCCATAAATAGATTTCCGAAGGCGACACACAAACCCGGAACCATCATTAAAGCCAGGTGGTTGCTTCATGTAAACTTCCTCCTGAAGGGTCCCATGTAAAAATGCATTGTTCACGTCCAACTGGTGCACCGGCCAGCCATGAGAAAGAGCAATAGTCAAGAAAACACGAATAGTGACCGGTTTTATGACCGGGCTAAAAGTGTCTGAATAATCAATCCCAGGGCGCTGGTGAAAACCCTTAGCCACTAAGCGAGCCTTGTAGCGATCCAATGAACCATCCGGTTTATACTTCACTGTATAGACCCATTTACAACCCACAATATTTTGACCAGTCTGAGCCGGAACAAGATCCCAAGTTCCCTGTTTCACCAAGGCATCAAATTCTACTGACATAGCCTTCCTCCATTCTGGTACCTGCATAGCTTGAGAAGCACAAGTGGGAATTATGTGATGAGGTAAAGGATTTTGAATAGCAATATGGGCTTGTTTGCGGGGTCGGAGGGTCATTGGGTGGGTACGTTGGGGTGGTGGGTTATTGAGTGAGGGAGGCGAGGTAGTAATATCAGGGTTGGTAGATGGGTGAGGAGCGGCGACAAGAGGATTAGGTTTAGGACGGCGTTGGTAAGTAATAACTAGTGGTGGTGGTGGGGGTGTAGGGGGTGTGGGGTGTGGGGTGTGGGTCACTTGGGGTGGAAATAGTGGGTGACGTACCGGGAGACTGTTGTTGAGCCGAGGTATGAGTGGGAGGAGACGCCCGCGTAGTCACAGTGCCCGAAATAGGAAGATAGGACAGGGAAGGTTGAAGCCAGAGATCGACATCACTAGTGATATTTGAGGCTGGGGGGGTAGGTGTAGAAAAGGGGAAGACTGACTCATCAAACACGACATGCCTGCTAATAAAGACCCTGTTCGTGGTAAGACCAAGACAGCGATAAGCACTTTGCTGGTCACAATACCCATGAAAAACACATGGTTTAGAGCGTGGTTCTAACTTATGAGTGGTATAAGGACGTAACCAGGGGAAACAGATACACCCAAAAATGGCAAGTTTATTGTAATGAGGAGGCTGTTGAAAGAGTTTTTCGTAGGGAGAGCAGAAGTTTAGAGAGAGAGCAGGTTGTCTATTAATAAGATAAACGGCTGTAAAGAAAGCATAAGACCAATATTTAAGAGGCATGGATGCATGGTGAAGTAGGGTGATACCAGTTTCCACAATGTGACGATGCCGACGTTCAGCAAAGCCATTGTGTTCTGGAGTGTGGGGAGGAGTGAGTAAGTGAGAGATGCCACATGTTCGGAGAAAGTAATGTATTCACCGCCCCCATCAGAGTAGACGGTTTTAATTGTTCGTTGAAAAAAGTTTTCTACAATCTTTTTAAATTGTTGAAAAAGGGACGTGACTTCAGACTTATGAGTCATCGTGTAAAACCAAATGTACTTGGTATAATGATCAATAAAAATAACATAGTAACGAAAGCCATCAACAGATGTAACACGAGCAGGGCCCCAAACATCAGTATAAATTAAATCCAGCGGTCCTGAACTCGTAAGAGATGATGTTGCAAAAGGCAATTTATGGCTTTTATTACTAGCACACGAGACACATAAGGAAATATCTGTTGCAACATTTGGAAAAGAAATACCTAAGGAGGAGAGAATTTTTTTTGTGATAGGGAGGGCAGGATGTCCTAGACGACAATGCCATTTATTAAGGGAATATTTTTGTGTAACATGAACAGAGGGGGACAGTGGAGGGGGCACATCTGGTAAGCTGTAGACGTCTCCTTCATTCATACCCCGTAACAAAATTGCTCCCGTTCGCTGGTCCTTAACAAGACAAAAAGAAGGATGAAATTCAATTAGGACATCATTATCACGACATAATTTGGCAACAGAAATTAAATTGGTGTGAATAGAAGGAACAAAAAGGGTATTGGGGAGAGAGAGAGAGAGTGAAGGGTCATATGCCCAACTTGTGCTATCACAAGTCCTTTACCGTTACCAATAACGAGGGAGTCAGTGCCAGTATAATCGGATGCCAAGGTAAGATTGTTCAAGTTGTTGGTGACGTGATTGGTGGCTCCAAAATCAAGTAGCCAACCATTGCGATTGGTGATAGCTGCATTGACTTGGGGAGGATAAGCCTGTTGTTCAAATCGATGCCAACAATTGAGAGCAGAATGATTTGGTTTGCCACAAATTTGACACAAAAGGGCCGGCCCAAAATTACCATTCCCAGGGGTGTTTCGGGCTGATAGATTATTGTTGGAATTTCTAAAATTATTCTGCCCACGTCTGTTGGTGTTTCTGGGCTGACTTCCACCATTATAACGGGCTGGATTAATTTGACGATTGGGCTGGTTGGTAATGTGGGCAGATGGTCCAAGGCCCAATATAGAAGATGTAGAAGTCGGGTCTGGTCCTCTGCGTGCAGCAAGTGCGACCGACTCCCCAGCTATTTGACGAGGCTGTTCTTCAGCGATTTTGGCAGCGGTATTAGCGGTGACCACCGTCGCTGAAGATTCCAGAGTCTCCTTCCGTCGCAGGGTTGCCTCGAAGCCAGTAAGCAGGGTATAGATGTTGCCGAAGCTATTATCCCCACAGGTACGGATGGAGTTTATGAAGGATTCAAACTCAGGTCTGAGTCCTTCCAAGGCTTGAAGGACGAAGTCATCATCATCAACAGGACGGCCGGCCTTAGCTAATTCGTCGGCGAGTGTACGGAGATGATGAAGATACTCACCGACTGCCTTAGATCCCTGTCGAGTATGGCGGAAGATATCCTTCATATTGCGGATTTGAGCTGCTGACCGGGTCCCATAAAGTTGCTCCAGAGTTTTCCATACCGCAGCAGAGGTACGGGCAGACCCGACCAAGGGTTTGCACGCCGAGCCCAAGGAGGAGACAAGAGCATGGCGGAGGAGATGGTCTTGCCGATTCCACCGGAGATGCTCTGCGGCGTCACTGGGAGGTGGTGGAACAGCACCATCACTGATGTACTGGTCAAGATGAGAGCCTACCAAGAGATCAAGGACTTGGTCACGCCATATCAGGTAATTCGTCCCATCAAGTTTTTCTGGGAAGTGGCTAGGGTTGAGTATGATCAAGCCATCTGGGGTGAGGGGGTTGACAACTGTGGTAGAAGGAATTGTAGAAGAAATGGCAGGCTGCCCATCTGGGGAATTTGTACGGTCTCCTTGCTGAGGGGGGTCGTCTGCCGCCATAGGGGAAGAGGGATGGCTGGTTAGAGCTCGGGAGGCTCTGATACCATGACAGAGAAGGGAGAAACGATATTTGAATATATTCTTGATAATTAGAATGAGTTACAATAGCTGCTATTTATACAAGTAGTAATCTCATCTATATGGTAAGTCATAATACAATATTAAATGATAATGATATGTAACGGCTAATATGATATGTAACAGCTACTCTATTTTAAACTCAATTATTCCTTTCCTTCAATAAGGGGGGGGGGGGGGTATCAGACCCCTAAACTTGCACAATTTGCTCATATGGGCTCAACTCCCAATTTGGAGGATGAAACCCTACAGATTATTTGGTACCCTCAGACGTGCTATCATTTGCACGATTTCACACGTGTGCACAGAATTTACTAATTCAATAGTACAGAGTAATAATATTTGACTCAAATATTGAATGATTTTGTAAAATATTTCGCATGAAAATATTTTCCCTGGATAGACTTTCCTGTGTTTGGTAGCACAGGGAAGTAAATTATTTGATTCTTTAGACTCTTGTGGAAAATTACTTATTGTTTGAATACAGGATCTCATTATATTCCTGATATTCTAGATGTTTTCAGATATTCTTGGGTCATGTTATATTACTATGTTATACTCCTTAATATACAGACAGAAAATGTTTCCTTTGCATAGAATGTTTTTCCAAGTGATTTTCCCAAGACAAACACAACCTCATCAAGACATACATAATTGAGGCAAATTCGCTTACCTGTTAGGTCTCTGCAGTGCATTCAAATGCCATCCCTTGGATGACAAGACATCATTGACTTCAAATATGTCTACTACTTCGGATCCAAATGCGATAATACTCATGTCAGGCTTTCCTATGACATATAGTCCTGGGATTTCTTCTATTCTGCAACAATCATAGCATAAAGAGCTATATTAGCGTTTTCTATTTAATAAGTTAAATTTCAATAGAAATGGAAATGGTAAATGCCGACCCTTTCTCTATTTTCTTAGAAGCTTCCATGATCGCCTTAGTGTTCTCCAGATAACCTATAAGGTATTACGCAAAGTAAGTCCACGTGCCTTGGATCATATATCCCATTTTTCTACAGACACAAATGTTAATTAGGAAAAATAACACCCACCTTTGAGTCCTAGAGACATCATAGCCGCCCAGGCTCCAGCAATCAGACCTCCAGGCCTGCTCCCAGCAATGGTAGGAGAGACATACAGCCCACCAGTCCATTCAGTAACTGCATAAACAAAGAGCATGTAGTCAAAGATTATCAACAGCTAAACAAGATTTGTATTTTGTCCCTGCAAAATTGCAAATATAACCTTTTCATTTTATGTCCCTGTAAAGTCATTTTCTGTTACTCATTCTTGTGAACGTGTGATTTAAGTTAAAGGGAGGGTTCTTGTACTCTTAGAATAAGAACTCTTTTTAATATAAGAACGTATAATCTTCATCATTCATTTTTACAATCAAGGTGGTATTTTGGTAATTATTTAGGGTAATTATGAATATGACCTCATGTGAATATTATCTAATGATTGCAATAAATGAAAGGTTGAGATTAAAAGTTCTTATTCTAAAGAGTTCTCACTAAACCCTCCGGATAAGTTGAATCCCTTCTTTAAAGAACTGATGCGTCAGAAAATTAGATTATCACTTTTCACTTTATGTTTTATACAAAAAAAAAGTTCAATACTTATATTCTGGAGGAAAAATATACTAACTCCGTCCCAGTAGACTTTGCCAAGTGCAAAGTAGGTGAGAAATAAGAATAGTAAAAACTGTGTGGTTGAGAGTTGTGAAGAGGAGAGAGAAATGTGCAGAGCCACAAATTAGTTGCTTTAATAAAAAAGTGACAAAGTTTTTTGGGACAACCAAAAAGGGAAAGTTGGCAAAGTCCAATTGGGCGGAGGGAGTATTTAAAAAATAACAAACTTAGCAAAACATTGGATTTTGAATACATGAAGGTTTCAGATAACTGGTTCCTATCACAGCATTCACTACGTCACAAAATTATCTTTGCACTTTCTTTTACATCCGTCCATAAAATACCTTCAGGCTTCCCATTATCATCAGCCCCTAAATATCTCATATCTCCCTATTTCCTATATTAAAGAATAAAAATTTTCGTGGTTCATGTGTTCTTTCCTTTCTATAGGACAATACGGTTTCACTTTCTTAGTAACCATGTCAAATCACCAGAGACAAAGTAGTTTATTTAGATAAGTAACTCACCAGCAACAAATTGATGCTGGAGAAGCAGGCCCACCAACATGCAAACAAACAAGCAACAAAGATACCACATCCCAAAAAAATGAATAAAATACAATTAGCGTGTAAGTAATACACTAATTCATTCAATAAAGTATCGAAGTTGGTGGCTAAAATGAAGGACAAGGAAAGTTGTAATTTGAAATGGAAATTGGAATACCTTTCGAATGTCATGATTTCTATATAAAACAACACTTGTTCCCTTTGGAGCTAATCCATACTTGTGTACATCTACCGATATTGAGGTTACTCCTTGAACAGTGAAATCATATGGTGGAACAGGATACCTAGGAGAGTCAAAAATTGGTGTGAGAAATTCGACAATTTAGAACTCTAGACCAGGTCACCAGGATGATCTACAGTGTTCTATATTCTTACCCAGAAGTATATTCAATTCATGTTCTTTTACTGAGAACAAAACTGGTAAACTTAAGATGTGAAATTGATGACGTAAAAATTATAATAGTACTTAAGTAGTGTAAATTATTAAGGATCAGCTTGGATGGAGGGCTTTGGAGGGGAATATTTAGGAGAATTTGGTCTCTACAATGATAAATAGAATGTTTCTTAAAACAAATAAATGATGATTGAACTATTAAAGCACTATTATGTTATTGCTTCAATTTCGAAAAACACATATTAAGATACATAGACTTTTCCATGCAAAACCCTCCCTTAAACTGACCCTAAAAGATCTTTTACATTACTGTGTCTACACACAATTAGAACATGTGATGTCATTATGCACTTCCAAGTGACTTCGTCACTGACTGATCTAGAACAAGTATAAAACTGGTAAACTTAAGATGTGAAATTGATGACGTAAAAATTATGTGCAGGCCCCTAAATGTGCATCCACCTGTCTGTGTTAGAAATAAGAATAAAGTCATATCCCCCTAAAGTTCTGCATGAAATGGAAACTAATTTTTATATAAACCTACAAACTCTTTTCCCTTAACTATCTTCATGGTTTTTTTTTACTTCCAGGATTGCTCATAATGGGTGGGAATATAATATGAACACAAAAACATACCCGAGTTTACGAGCAAACGGCAATACAAAACCACCGAGACAAAGGTCAACATGGAAACATATTTCGAAAGTACAAGCTAATTCACCGAGCTCCTGAAAGAAAATATGATTCATGAATAAAAGGAAATGCAGTTTTTTATAAATCCCACACGGACAAAGACAATGCCACATGCCTCAATTGGATCTATTACTCCATGTGGGAAGCCTGGTGCTGATCCAACAATCTGTACAGAGGAAACTTAGTTAAATTGAGAAAGATTATGTATAACATTGTTTGGACTGGAAATAGATTTCAGGGAGAAAGAAATTGAGACGAAATATAGTTAAGCTATGTGTAGGGAAAGACTCAGGGACAAGTTCAATGAATGCCAAAATCAGCCTCAACAAATGAGTGATCACTATCTAGTGGTTTTAAATAGGGATTAACATCACCATCATCATCACCACTACCATTACTATTACACTATCCACGTCCGTTATTAACTGGGGAAAAAAATATAGCAGGGAAAAAAACTTGCAGGAGAGAAGAGAATTCACATATTCACATCAAGTTGATGTGTGTATTATACTAACTTCAAAAAAATATAACTTGTTAATAACAGGGTCATTTAAAATAAAAGAGTTCGCCAAAGAAAGGTATAGAAAAGAGAATGAAGAGTCATACATCAGTCGCTGAGAGAAGGTGGTTGTAGAAGAAGAGCAGTGGCTGAGAAATTTTAAATGAAAACTAGGCTTATTTAAGTGGGCACGACTTATTTAACAGAAACCTGAAAATGAAATTCGCAGGCCTCAGTCCAGCCTTATTGGGTACGCCTCAAGGCACATACGCCTGCCCGAAAGGTGAAAGCCTCAATAGTGCACAATTTTAGGAGCGGGCCTAGTGTGTATCTGTTCCAAATCCCAATAATCACTGAAACAGGCCGCAAGGCTTAAAGGGCATTTTGCAATTATAAACATTGGGTACCTGGCACACCGCGCACCCTGACTTTTATTGGTATTTTTGTTGATTGCATAGCTTTCTCAGAACCCTTTCCCCTTGCTTTTCCTAGCTACTAGCTTAATTGATTTGGGAGAGGGAAGAAAAAAGAGAAGAGATGGAAAATGTGGTGGGGTAAACTTAAAAATCTCCAACATTGTGGTGAGAGTTTGGCGGACCAGGGGAAAAACAACAATGACTAATGATATGATGTATATATCCCACTATTCGTATACTACACAAATATATTGTTAAGGATAATATTGTCGTTAGACCACACCCATATCCTTTCTTTTCTGTTTCTTTAATATTTGATTTGATCCAAACAACCCAAAAATCTACTCATTTTCTCTTCTCCCATAATTCTTTCTTTTCCTAGTTCTCTTCTTATCCAAACAAAGGATTAATGAATTAAGATGCACAAAGGTGCACAATAATACCAGAATAGGAGCAACGGGAGAGGATGAACACAGGAAAAATCACAGTTGGAACATAACAGTTAGAACATCATAAGAAATTTGCTCTTACCATTATCGTGTTTTTATTTATATGTTTCTTAATAGCTTTTGTGTTTGCGCTATATTCTTTATTCACAGGAACTCGCCACAACTTGATCTTAAAATACTCAGCGGCTTTGTCATATGCTGAGTGAGCAGAAACCGGAATTATCCTATAGATATTAATAAATAATATTCAGTAATGCAATATGCTCACTTCATAAAGGGACATTGAAACTCCATTGTTTCAAGGAAAATAACTTATTGAGGACACTGTCTTCTGTGAAATATTTTTATGGGAAAATGTTTTCTAGAAACTTTAGTTCTCCTTCATATTATATTCATTTGATCCAAGAAAACAGAAAAAATAAAACTATTTCAGTAAACTGACTTTCAGCTTCAAAAAAGCCCAAGGGTCCCATTGGTGATTGGAACCTAAAGAAAATGTTGGATGACATGCAAGATAAGCTAAAATTCAATAAACTTACTTTGGATATCTGTTGAAACTTGATACTCATTTTATGTTTCATATAATCATATCAACTATACAAAGATTAAAAAAATCTAGATGTATGTGACAAAATTCAAAAAAGTGATCATATCTCATTTTCCTTTGCATTTCCTGAGGTCAAACTACACACAAGAAAATACTTTTTCTTCACTTGTTTTGCTTTTGGCTATCATTTTCCGGCATCCAAACTTATACGAAGTATGAAAGATAATGCATTACAGTACAGGAATATGTTTTCCTGTACTAAACACATGAAGCATTTTTCTGGAATACATTCTCCTATGAACAAACGGGGCATAAAGAAATTTGAGAAGAGAGCTGCATACATTTCTGGTTTAGTGATTCCCTTTTTAGCTCTCATATAATCCCGTGATGACTTAACCGCTAATAATATGCTTTCAGTCCCCCCTGATGTCATGTTCCCGCAAATTTGTCTTCCAGAAGCTTTTTCCTTACTTCCTAGGAGTGCAGCTGTCATGGCAACAACTTCTGCTTCAAACCTTACAACACTTGGGAATATATCCATATGAAGTGGGTTGGTATGTGCAAACCTGGAGCATCATTTATATAATAAAAAATTAGAAGACATAAAATGATATAGAGGACGCCTAATATAAAGGTACCTTATAAGCCTTAGAAACCTTCTTTTGAAGGAATAAGACATATTAAGATAGTTGCATACGAATTCAATTTTATAGTAATCAAATGTATCTAGTTTTATCAAACAACTCTTATTTATGAACACATCAACAAAGATGGTACATTATTTTAATTCTCTTTTCATGTTCTCCATATGCTTCTATTATCTGAATGCTACAACATAATAAAAAATAATAATAATAATAATAATAATGCTCTATGTACACACACACACATCAATTGCACAAGTAAAGAGAAATACAAAAGTTTATTAAAGTGGACAATTTCTGAAGCGGAGGATTGTTTCTGTGTGTGTGTGTGAATGTGTGTGTGTGTGTGTGTGTGTGTGTGAGAGAGAGAGAGAGAGAGAGCAAACCCTTACATAGAACATGCTTCGTTTATCAGAGAAAAATGCCCTTCATTCTCACTTCCAGCAATATAGCTACACAATAAAAGGTGTAATTACTTCATTAAGCCCGTGTGTTTAGCATATGCAGACCCAAAAAGGGAAAAGAAGAAGTAATATATAAAAATTTAATCAGGATTTAATAAAATATTATTTTCTTTAACGTTGAAACTTAGAATTATGCTTTGGAAAAAAAATCTTGTTAACGTACACTGTACCAGAACATTTGCCCTGCCAGGTCCCATCATTTTCTTTCTCGTGTCTCATTGTCTTAATGACACCATCTCCTAAACCTGTCTCTGGCAAATCAGTTCTCCATCCATCTCTCTTGGATTTTCCAGATGCTTGCATCTTTTCTACAGCCTGCCCATAGATAAGTATATTTGAATATTTGATCCACCACAAATTGAAAAAAGAAGAAAGGGTGATTTATTGTTTTAGGAAGATAAACATTTATTGCATGAGTATTATGTATGAAGTACATATTTGGGAATCTAATAGGAATCGGGCATATTAGGCTAATAACATAAAGGGAAAAAAAATTGTACATGTAGTATAAATAGAAGGGAAGGGAGAAATAAAGAGGTAGGCAAGTATTCAGTTGGGATTAGGCCAGAAGATTTATCAGTCTTCTCTAACAGTCTCGTTGGTGCTTGTGAACTCTCTGTAAACATTCCATTAATAAAAATAATGTTTTCTTGATCGCTTTATCAATTCTTTACCATGTCAGTGAGATTTCTTAATCAAGTTACCAGTGACCTATCATTGGTATCAGAGCATTCGCCTCCTGGAGACGGACAAGAAGTAGCAGAACAACAATGATTCACGTTTACACTGTGAATGGTCTGGACGAGAACAAGAATGGAGAATAGGATGGATTCTTTGGAGAGGAACTATACCGACTTGAGAACGAAGGCGGAAAACAATTCCGGACAGGTAGCAGCGATAAACGAATACCTTCAGACTAGAGGGCGATCGCGGTTGCCAACAACTTCTCTCAGTTCATAATCCTCGTCGCTAGCAGTTTCTCACAGTTCATCATCGCAAAATGTTTCTCACCCTGCGCAAGAATCTCCCCAGTCGATAATTAATACCAAGTTGAAGCCAGCTGAATCAGTAACTAATGAACTGAATCTTGACAACGAACTCGAGGAGGAATCTACAGTTGAAGATGGACCTGAAGTTAGCGCCATTGCTGGATCCCTCATTGACACTGCTGCATCAAAGTACAAGTCTGTCAAATCAGAATTGGGAACCAGATTGCTCAAGCTAAACTGGGTGAAAGATGAGGAGAAGAGGGACTTTACTGGGATCACAATGAATGGGTTTACGCGGGGGAAGGAGCAGACAACTGCTTATACCTGGAAAATTCTGAAGGAAGCAGGGATTAGTAGGACTCATCCAGAGTGGGTTCAAAAGTCAGTCGCACTAATAATTAGCATTGAACGGGTAGGCACAGTATTGAAGTGCAGAGATGAAGACAAGATGGGAAGGAAGGAAAAAGGGGATTGTATGAACAAACCTCAGCATTGGGTAGAAAGATTGAAAGGAATCACATTTACCAGTAAAGATGAGAGAGGTGTTGATGGATCTTGTCTTAGTGGCAGTATTTACCATAGCAATGATGTATTCAATGGGAATTGTGTTATCACAGTTGCAGAATTTCCTTATGCCAGTTGTCTATCCATAGTCAAAACAGCGGCAGGTTCTGCACCACTCATGTCATTGTTTGCACCTATCAATTCTGGGTCACAGGATTCCTATTGGAAAGCTTCCTTTAATACCTCCGCAATTGATGTTCCTACTGTTCTTATATCAGTCCCAGGGAATACATGTCAGATGCTATAATTTCAAGTAGTGAAGCAACTGAAACCCAAGGGGGGGCTTGGGTTATATCATGTAGCAAGAGCTATTAGAAAATGGAAGACTGAGCAGTTGGTGATTGGTAAAGCTCAGTCCCAGCATGAACAAAGCCACCTGAGTGGTACTGATGATCTGAAGGTAGAGGATCTATTGATGCTTTTGCTAGAAGTGAGGAGGAAGATTCAAGTATGGAAGTTCCTTGTCCAGCAATTAGTCAAGTATTGCGAAGGGAGAGGCACAAGGATGAAGAGGAAGCTGAAAATCATGGTTGTTTCCTATCACCCACCTTGAGGACAAGGTGGTTGTCTAAGGGGGGAGATATGATAGGAATCGGGCATATTAGGCTAATAATAGAAATAATAATAATAATAATAATAATTGTACAGGTGGTATAAATAGAAGGGAAGGGAGAAATAAAGAGGTAGGCGTGTGTTCAGTTGGGATTAGGCCGGGAGATTGAGACTTCTCTAACAGTCTTGTTGGTACTTGTGAACTCTCTGTAAACCTTCCATTAATGAAAATAATGTTTCTTTGATCACTTCTTGATCAATTCTTTACCATTTCAGTGAGATTTCTTAATCAAATTACCAGTGACCTATCAGAATCCTTATCTAATCAGATGGTTAGAACTAAACTTTTAAATTATATTTCAATGATACCACTGGGTAATGTGAGATTACACCAAAATGCAAAGGTGATGTTTATTGTTTGGTTCTTAAAATGTATAATTACCTTAGCTAATATGGTTACCTTCAGGAAGGTAATATGAGATAAAAAGAGTGTGTGTAAGATTCTTTAAGCTGGTTGGTTCAAAAACTTAAATATCAATATATCATTAATTTGTTAAGGATCAACAGTCAGATAATTAAAACTATTTCCAAATTTAATCTTTGAAGTTTGAAAATCTAAGAAACCCAAACAACAATAACATTACCAATAGTATATCATCTTATTACATGAAAGTGATCTCATTATTTGACATTCTGAACCAAAGAAGCAACCTCACATTAACAAGGAAAGATTACCCGAAACAAAGTCCACCTGAAGACAGTCTTCGGCATTGTTCTAAAAAAGAGTTAAGAAACATGTACACAGTAAACTAGGAGCTAGCATAAGGACTTGGTCAACTAGTCACCTCCTAGTGGGGCCGAAATAAGAGAAAATTGGAGAGGTTAAGGAAGACCTAGTGCCCAAGGCTTGTGAGCTAGTTTTATACAATTACAAACATGCGACTAGAATTTGCAAACAAAACTTTTAGGGGGGTAAACTTTTATCTTTTTGGTTTTAGGGGCTCAACTAGTTTTTCAATTATTTTCTAGATATAAAAATAATTAACATACATTTGACATACATGTAAAATACAAATATTGCTACATCATTATATTGTACGGTATAGCATTTTTTTAATTTTCAGGGATGAAGATTGTCAATCAATTAGTTAGCCCTAGTAGTTGTGGTCAGCATAAATGCCACATTTTCAGAAAAAATGAATAAACAAACATAAAACTCAAAAGAATAATGTCTATGTTCAAATGCAAACTTACAATTTTGTCAAATAGGAGCAAAACATATAACCTCTTCATAAATAGGACTATAATAACCCAAAAGATTTAGATATATCATATACTCCGTATGTGATGTGACCAAAACTCCCCTCATTTCATTATTCAGATTTCCTGACTACGTAACTATGTAGTACTACGTATTAAATTTACTAAATGACATAGCCTGTAACCACCGCCTGCTACCACCGGATCACCACTGCCTCCAGGTCAACGTAAAAGTTTTTCAGGAAATTATCAGAAAATTGTCACCGTGAAAATTACTAGGAAATGTAGGGTAGAAATGGGATTAGAACAATGTCATTAAAAAAAAGTTGCTGCAAAACCGCAACCAGCCACCCCACCAAATCCGTAAATTAATATCTGGCAATTTATAGTCGTTAAATGTATAAAAATATATTGCCTAAAGGTATTTTGTGTTCAAATTATTACAAATTCTAAATAAAGATCAAGTCCCACTCTTTAGTTAGGAATAAAAGATTAACACGAAAGCAATGTTTTCATGATCATATAAGATATTTTCGCCTTATTTGATATGAGGTATAAAATAAGCCAAAAACTAAGTTGATCATGATCTTATTTGATCAATGACATTATTCTTCTTAGTTTCTACTTTTTCTGAAAATGAGACACTTAGCACTTCCCTTTTATTTTATATGTATTTCAAATGTATCTTATTAGTGTTAATGATTTACATATATACAAAGTACAAAATAACTGTAAAAGCAAATTGAATCCCCAAAACCAAAAAATAAAAAGTATAGTCCGAAACCCGAAATTTTGGTAAATTCGTGTCTTCGTTTTAGTAGTTAGCTAGGCTTTTCTAAAACCAATGGCCATGCCCTGTTTTTATTATTAAAAAGACTCATCCAGCCATCCAAGCCCATAAAAGGAATAAACCCAAGCAATAGAATTTGGCTTCAAATAGGACTAACTGTGCTTTATTCCCAAAATAAGACTTATTTAGTCCTAATAAAAGAATACAATTTCCCGAGTAAATCAGTTCAACTTTAGGAAGAAAACAAAGATGGATCCTGCTTGAGGAACCTTATTATCTTTTTATTCCTTCAAAGTAAAGAATGCTACCAAAAATCACAAAAAGAACATCAAGTGATCAATTTCAAACCTTTTGCTTCTCGGAATCAATGAACTTCTTCACACCTGGCACCATCCTGTTTATCGGTGTAAAAACATCACCCACAAATCAATGAATAAACTAGAAAACTGAAAAGCACAATTCAAGATTGCACAAAAATCAGAGACAAGTATAGAGAGTTACTTGGCCAAGGTCATGAAGGAGCCGATAATCGTGGGTTTGAGACCTTGTTCATGGACAACATCGAAGAGCGATTGGAGAATCCGAGCAACGAAGAGAGATAGCAGCGGAGCGAGAACTAGAAGAAGGGGTTCGTACTGAGCCAGCAACGAGTTAGTGTAGGCTCTGAGTCGGTTGAGCGAAGCCAACTCCATTGCCGGTCGATGTGAACAAGACAAGGGATTGACTGATTGAGGACAAAAGTGAATAATCCTTGTGGGAAAGGTGATGATGTTATATATGCTCCAGGAATAGATCACACGTAGGGATAAGGAAGAGCGGGAAAGGTGGGCATGCGTGTACGTTACATGTTCCTTAATCCTTGCGGCCTTTCTTTTAATAATTTAGCTGTTTCAATTGTTCCAAATCTTCCAATGATCATGAACCGGAAAAAAAAGATGACACCCCATCCCTGAGGGCCCTCACCACCGACCAGACGGCACGATGGAAGGATGTAAATTGGACTATAATCACAATCTGACAGATAGAGAGTGGGGCTTTGTCCCCGGTACTTGCAGAGGTCCTATGCATTTTTCAGCATAGTAACCCCTCATCTTAGTTGCCGTGATTCGAACCCGAGACCTAACCCTTGTAGCACTCCCTTGCTACCAGTTGAGCTACGCCCACCGGTTCTATGCAAATTGCTTCAAAAACTAAGAGCCCGTTTGGTAGCAAGAAAATCGGCTGATTTGGCTGATTTTGCTGATGTAAGAAAAAATTATTTTTAAAATATATTTTATGAATAAAGTAAAGAAAAAATTATATGTAAAAATAGCTAAAATGGTCATCTACAGCAACTTCAGCCAATATAGCCAGAAAAGTAACTTCAACCTTACTTTTTCTGCTTATTACACAATTTGCACGCGAGAGTAAAAGTTACGTGTTTGATAAGCCTGAAAACCCGAAAAACAATGCTTCCAAACGACCTCTAAGGTGATCATGGACTTTTCTGTTGGGGAAAACACGACCCCCGACCTCTTCCAGGATCACTAGCTCAAAGGACTCTTGTACATTCATCCACCCACTCGTAACACAAAGATTCAATCTAGCAATATCACTTTGTATTACACAATTGAAATGTACAAGAGATATTTTACAAGTAAACGGGTAGCTCACATCACTTTTTGTATGAGACTACTTCACTCTCACATCCCTCTCTAGAGGAGGCCTTCACTTACTCAATAGCCCTCCTCTAGGATCTCTCTCATCATTTGAGGAGGCTCTCTCTAGCCTCTCACTCTACGACCTCCTCATGGCTCTCACTCTAGAGGCTCTCTTCACTTTAGGCTCACTTCTAAGGTCTCCTCAAGAATGAGTAGTCTCACCCTTATTTATACTATTCTCCTCAAAGCTTCTCTAGAATTCTCTATACAACACTATACTTCTAGATTCTTCCAAGAAGTGTCCACGGGCTTCTCTATTCTTCTAGAATGATCTAGAGAACTCCACACTGCTCTAGAATGTTCTAGAGGCTTCTACACACTTCCGCACGATTCTAGAGAATTCCACACTTCTCTAGCAAGCTCCACAATGTTCTGAAATATTCTACACTCTTCCACACGCTTCTAGATAATTCCATGTCTCTCTAGAAAGCTCCGGAATATTCTAGAACATTCAATACCTCTCTATACACATCTAGAGAATTCTAGATATCTCCGCACTATTCTAGAATTCTCATTAACTTCTCAATTAAGGAGGGAACCCAACATTTTCTGATCAATATTTTGGATTTAGAACTCATAAACTTTTGAAAGATGTCTAAATATATATCTTATGCAACAAATTTGCTTTAACTAGGATTATTAAGTTTTAGGGGTCTTCAATATGGATCCTGGATGATTTTAATAGAGTTTAGAATTGCGTCAGAATCTAAATGTCATTAATTTGGATTTCTGGGGAATCTATGAAAATCAGGGTGTCCTTCAAGATTCCGTGGATTTTTATTATTACTTATTTACATGGATTTTAATGGATTTTGGTGGATTTCTACATACAAAAACATTCTACCACAATCTTGTAGACTTCCCTCGGATTTCAAAGTCCACGGTTTTTTAAAATCCATTAAGGCATAGTTGGGGACACCCCTTAGTATTTCACAACTGAGAATGTTTTCATATTCTTCTTTGTAATCGTAAAAATTGTAAATTAGCCATTATTGTACCTTTCAGGTTTAAAACATCGCCTCTATCGTCTCCTCCTCATTCTGGTCATAATTAGAAATTAGAAATTGTCAAATTGGAAAAATCAAATTGAGATAAGTGGAAACACTCCAATAACACACATACTATAATTAAGTGACAATCTAAAAAATTAAGTAATGTTTCAGTGACTGCTTGACTACCGATATTGTAATAAACATATATCGGTGTTTTAAACCTGAAAGGTACAATAATGGCTAATTTACAATTTTGAACGATGATAGTGAATGGTGACCACTGACCACCAAGACCAGGGCCAGACTAGCCATGTGTAGTAGGTGCAACTGCACGGGGACTCCATTTTAAGAAGGTCTACATGTTTTAGCGTCGCATATTATAATAGGTGAATTAGAAAAAAATGGCCTATTAAACAAACATGTTGCCCTAATTAGTTAAATACGGTACGAGAATTAAACGATATTCATGTCGATGTGGAAATTAGTGTTTCGCATGTAATTTCAGGATTGCATGCAAGCATTGTGATTATTCTTCTTTGGAATCTTGAACGATGATATTAAAGTTTGTGATTAGTTTTACTAGTTACTAGTATTAAAAAGTTAGAGTGATTTACATCAAACAATATACAAATCGCTTTGTTTGTTCATGATTTAGATGGAGCAACAATGTTTTTTTTATCAATGATAGTTTCAATATATTTTTGTAAAAATAAAATTGAACCAAATTTTTTTACTTACATAAGTTATGTTAGATTAATCCGTTTACAGAAAGTAACAGAGAGAATATATTTTTTCTCTCTCTAGGGAGTAGAGCCGCTAGGGTTTTGGTCCGTTCTCGTCTTCATCGACGGGGTTCGGTGGCCTTTGGCCGACTGTTTGGCTGCGGGTTTGGAGGGTGCATCGAGTCTTGGGCTTCGGTTTGGTGGTTGCTTTGGTTTCGTCATTTCTCTATCGAAGCGGAAGAGCAGGGGAAGGGGAAGGGCTTCGAGTTAGGCGCGAAGATTGGTTGTATGGAGAAGATTGCCGATTTGTACCGGAAGATGAGCGTGGAGGAGGAGGAGGAGGAGCTGGATTGCGATGCGGTGGACACCGAAGAAGCTTCAACGGAGGAGACTCGGTTGACGTTCCCTGTAGCAGGCGCGCTGATAACGGACAGGAATATCAATTTTCAGCCTTCAAAGAGATGATGGCTTCTCTATGGAGGCCGGGAAGGGGCGTGGAGATCAAGGAAATCAATGACAAGAGGTATATTTTCACTTTTAATCATCCAGTTGATATGAAATGTGTTCTTGATGGGGGGGGTCCTTGGAAGTTTGAGAGGAATTTACTGATTATGAAGGAAATCAAACCTACTGAGAGCATCTTCAATGTTAATATGTGAACGGTGCATACGTGGCATAAGAGATAGCCAATTAAAAAATAATAAATAGAATATCTATCTCCTTATTTGAATAATCTTGTATCATTTTGGTAAGTTTTTCTTCACAATGTCAAGCACAATGTCTAATGTAGACATTGTGCTTGACATTGCAGAGGAAAACTTACCAAAAACACATAAAACCGTGGAAAGAATGATAGAGAAATGTCATAAATTCAATTTTTTGTGTCTATCTCTCTCATGCCACATGTGCACCGTGCACATTGTAGCATTAGAGATGCTCTGATATTCCACACTAGATCTGTCTAAATGAGGCATAATTTTGGGTACGTGTTTACAATGTTCCTTACTGTTTATTGAATCTAGGCACGTCAAGAAGGGTGGGGAATTTTCTAGGGTAAGTTTATTAGTTATGATATAAATCAGTTTGGGGAAAAGTGGAAGTCCTATCTACGTGTTAGGGTTTCGATTAATGTGGAAATTCCTTTGAAATAAGGAACAACTCTGAAAAAAGAAGGTGTTGGATATTTGGTAGATTTTCAGTATTAGAAGCTACCAAATTTTTGCTTTATCTGTGGTGTTATTGGTCACTCTGACAAATTCTGCCCGCTAATGTATGAGGATGGATTAGTTTTGGAAAAAAAGGTTTGAAGTGTCGCTTAGGGCAGAAAGTGGGGTGAAGAGTAGTCCCACAGGAAAAAAAAATGGCTGGTCGGAGAAGGCTCAAACTCGGGCAGGAACTCGCAGGAGTGGGAGACTCAGGGCTCTGGAGGTGGTGCGAAGGGGGAGAAGGAAGATACAACGATCTCGAGTAGTGGCTCTTCCAAGGAAGTGGTTCTGAAACAGAATAAAGAACCAACGGGGGAACAGAAGCACAGACGTATTTGGGAGGAAGGGGAGGCAATGCACCAGGGGGAGGATGGGATGGCTTTGGACGAAACAAAAAATGGAGAGGAGGCGAGCTTAGAGGGGTAAGATTGTCAGCGGCTGGGATGCAGAAGGGGAACTCAGAGTGGTATCTCCTATTGTTCGTGGGAAGATCAGACCTGAGGATGATTTTTATCTTATTATTTTTATTTATTTCGACTGTTTTAGGTATTTTGCGTGTTTCTTTTACGTTGTTGAAATTGTAAGATGTTGGTTTGGAGTTTGGATGTGGGTGATGATTTAACTGCGATTACCGTCACTGGCACAATTGTGACCATTAATGGATCAGCGAGTTATATTACTAAGGTGATAAACTCTGAATCTGGTTCGCGGGACGGCGGTTTTCACAAGTTTGATTGTCGTTTTACCTACTCTCCAAATGGTTCGATATCAATGTAAGCCCCTTTCATAAAAAAAATTAATAGAAAGAAAAATGTGTCTCAACTCTCAAATGTGTATATGAGAATTGAGAGAATATCTTTGCGTTTAGGAGTTCCACATGAGTTCGTTCCGTATGGCTGGCATTGGAAAAAATTGGCTCACACAAAAACGTTGGAGACTTGGAGGATACATATGACCCGCAAAAACACCTTTAAAAGGGTGATAAAAAAATAAAATAAATTTCGCCGTCTGTGGGAATCGAACCCACGACCACGTGGTTAAAAGCCACGCGCTCTACCAGCTGAGCTAAGACGGCAAGTTGGAAAATTTTCTCTAATATCGTATTTTAGCTCGAAACACATCTTTTTGTTCACGATTCACGTGAATGCAATTTAAGGTTTTTTTTTTTAAGGGAAAACTGTCAAATAGGTCCTCGAACTTTCATACAAAAGTCAATTAAGTTCTTCTATAGGAGACTCTGTCCGGTCGTCGCGATTTGGGGCGGTTCCCGGTG